GCAAACTGCTTCCAAAATCTTGCCAAGAAAATGGTAGGGAACCGGTCATAAAGAAGAGTCAACCCTGACTCAAAGGTGTACATACGCACAGTAGCATGTGCTGATTATTCATGAAGTTAAGCAACGTCGTCTCGAGGTGTTTGGAGGTTTGAAGCTAGAACTTTTAACTGAGGCCAGAAAAAGACCAATACTCACTGATAAAACCCAGGTAAAACTAGGATCAACAATCCTGCTAACTATGCATTTTTATGCTTTTATTTTATTTTACGATGCGGTGGCTCAGTGGCTAAGACACTGAGCTTGTCGATCAGAAAGGTCGGCAGTTTGGCGATTCGAATCCCTAGCGCCATGTAATGGAATGAGCTCCCATTACTTGTCCCAGCTTCTGCCAACCTAGCAGTTCGAAAGCATGTAAAATGCAAGTAGAAAAACTAGGAACCACCTTTGGTGGGAAGGTCACAGCGTTCTGTGCTCCTTTAGCGTTTAGTCATGCTGATCACATAACCACAGAGACGTCTTCGGACAGCGCTGGCTTTTCGGCTTTGAAACAGAGATGAGCACCGCCCCCTAGAGTCGGGAACTACTAGCACATATGTGCAAGGGGAACCTTTACCTTTTTACCTTTTACGCTAATCAAATGCAATTTCCAACTTGCTCCAAATTGAACAGTAGCAGTAACCTTTAAAAGTTGTAACTGAAATCTTACTGACTTTGAGTAAATTTAACTCACCAAGTCTCCTTGGGCAGAAAAAAGACTGCGACAAAGTGAAGACGGACATATGCAGATAATATCATTTACAAAGGTAACATAAAAACATGTCTTGTCTTTTGAACTTGAACCCACAACAATATGCTACCCGTTGACCAGGCTTCCCCAAGCTGATAGCCCTCAAAGGTACTAGGTGAGGATTCTGTTTTATAAGTCTGGGAATTCAAACATCACTAGGTCTAAGGAACCATGAAAAACAGTTTTAGTTGCAATTAGACTTATTCTGCCATCATTATGTGTTCTTTTCATACTATGTACGTATGTCATTAAAGCATAAATCTCCCAGGAAGTCTTTAACTGAGTTCATTGACACCATTGCTTCAGACTCATTAAACAGGTGGAGAGATTACACCTTAATATGTGATATTAAATTAATATAGGTATTAAACATGGTATATGTGTAATTGTATCTTACAAAGATGTGAATGTAGGACATCCAATAACAATGTCAGCCTGAAGTACAGAGCAGGGCCTTCTCTTTTATTTGTAATACCCTTAAACTTCCTACCGGGTAAAACCCACCTCATATTCATTTTTAATAATTTAAGTAAAACACAGTTGCTTAAAAAAACAACAACTCCCAACTGATCCTAGGATTGAAATGCAATCTTCCCCCCAGTGCCCCAAAGCCTTTGTTTGCCTGGAGAGGCAGAGGTTGCAATATTATTTTGTTTGATTGTTTAATGCTTGGTGTCAAGTATAAATAATACATTTGAAGAAATAAAATTAATTTAGGTACAATAAAATTGCATTGTTAAATACAATAAAATTGCATTGTTAAATACAATAAAATTGCATTGTTAAATACAATAAAATTGCATTGTTAAATTAAATAATAGGAGCTTCATTATTTAGTTAATGATACATTTACTGCTGCAACGTGCTCTACATGGGGCAGCCCTTGAAGAGCATTCGGAGACTTCAGCTTGTCCAGAATGCNTCCTTTTTTGTCAGCAAAGGTATTGTTGAGGCCTCCAACGATGAAAAAGGGCCATACACAGCCTTCCGGACTTCCTTTCTCACTGGAGATTTGCTTGACAAAGATTCCGGCGATGAATAATCAAGTGGATCGCTGGAGAGAAAGGAGGCTCGGAAGGCCATGTGCAGTCCTCCGGACCTCGTTTCTTGTCAGCAAAGCTCTTGAGGATTGCGTCCCTCTAGGCTTTGGGAGCCCTTTTCAAAAAGCCTTTGCCAGTATGAACACATCTTTGGAGGGATGTGCCCTCTCCTCCCAAGCTCAGCTGGTGCCAACAAAAACTTTTTGCAAAGGGCCGCCAAAGCCTACTGGAACGCAAACTCCCTGCAGGCTTTGGCAAGGAAAAGACAAACTGAGGGAAGGACTGAAGCCTTCCATCTGTTTGCGAACACCCAGGCCTCAATTCGCAGAGAATAGAGGCCTAAGGTGCAAGATCACACAAGATCAGTAGCACAAGATCTCACGGTACATTCGATTTCTGTTCTCTGCGAATGCACCGAAAGCCTGAAGCAATAAAGCAGGCAAAGAAAGCACAACAGAGAGAATTTCACAAGGTGAGTTTCCACAAGCGAAGTGCCTGTGAAAACCTGGCCAGTGAGGAGAATAGGTGGAGGGAAAGTTGCATAGCCTCTGTGGTTGTTCAGAAGAGCGAACAACTGCTGTGGTCCTGCAATATTCATAATTTTGGAGGCTTGTTCGTAAATGCTTATTGCATTTGCTAAGGGAATGCTCATAATCCAAGGTTTACCTGTAATAATTTTCCTTCCTTGGTCCTAGATATTGTTTAGTTTCATAAAGTAAAGGAGATATTTGGCCAAAAGGTGGCAGTAGCAAACTTTCTATACTTTTCCCAAGATAACTGTGTGGATGTGCTGGAGAAATTGGAAGGAGTTGAGTGACTTTCAATGGGTGTGCGTTGGATGAATTGTAAGAATAGCTCCTGGGACACCTTGCCCCAAACTGATTGTGTTTGTGTTGTTGCCTTGTGCCAAGAGATTTGACAGGCAGTGGTCAACTCATATGTTAAGCACCCTAATCTAAGTAATATGTTTCAGGGAGAGTGTTGAATCACTCAGAGTACTGAACTCCACTGTTACCTGACTTACCTGAATCCTGATTATAAAACATGAATTCTAAGGGACCAGGTTTTTAGAAAAGTTGTGTGGAGCGACTCCGGAGCCCACCTGCGACCCCAAGTGGAAAACATAGGTGCGCGCACAGACACTGCACAATTACAGCCCCGGAGAGTGGAGACTCTTGGAGGGAATCCAGAGGCAGTGGGGCAGCCGTGTCCTTTGCCCTCAGAGGGAGGAGGGGCCAGTTGGAAGAGGGGTTTTGGTCCTGCTGCCTTTGGGGAGAGAGCTTTACTGTCCCACAGCGAAGATTCCATCCCTCATCCTGGAGCTTTCATAACAATTGGAACTTGTTCTCACTTGCCCGGACTTGTGCAGAGGCTTCCCTCTCTGGGCCTATAATTGTGCGTGTGTGCACGCTCCTATCCTTTCCATGGCATGTGGCCGCAGCTGGAAGACAAGGAACGTGAGGGGGACCACAGAGGCCTCGTCCTTCTGAAGTGGACCTGTCCCGAAGAGAGGAGATGTGGTGGCATCGGCCTTGGGATGTTCTGCGGAGCCCCCCAGGGAAAAACGCCACTGCCAGGTACTTTTAATCATATATTTTGGTCCTATGACTGCAAAATGCTGCAAAAAACCATAAAT